TCATCTAAAACCTACCTATATTAACTGACGTATATTTAATACCAGAAAATATATGAGACATCAAATTCTATTATTTTAATTTATGAGGCTTAAAAGTGTTTTTCTTAAAGGAAGTTGCTCTTGAATATTTCTAAAGAACAGATTAAAATCTATTTCCTTGACAGAATATTAAAAAATTCGGATTTACCTGAATATTCGGATTTGGGATGGCATGTTGCATGAGCCAGGTGTTGGCCTCAGGCATTTACAAGAAGTTTTGCCTGCAATGAGTAAAGTTCCTAAATGTACAGCTAGATGTCCTCTCTGAGAGCTGGACAACGCCTTCTTTGACCTGAGTCTACCGGATCGGACCCTTAAGGAAAAAATGGTCTTTATGATGCTGATGCGAATTTCTCCTTCCAGGGACAAGAGTATAGCCTTAGCCTGGTTCCCCAGAGACAAAGCATTTCTTTTGGTAACTGATTTTTAGTTTTCCATGGGGATGTGATGGAAATGGCAAGAAATGGCCTTACATGTGGCAATTTCACAGTTGCCTTCAAGCCTCTTCCTCTACTTCCAAGCCCTGTGACTGTAAGAAACACGGGTGGGTACAAAGTTCTTTGTTCAGAGACAGCCCCATATGGATGAAACACGTTAAGGACATGTTATCACTATTACCTGAAGGTTTCATAATCTCTGAACTTTAAGGAGCATTTAATAGCCTCAGATTAGGGTAACTAAAAGCAACCCCTGGAGGGGAAGTCTGCTGGCCTGTTCTCTGCCTGTTCCGTGGCCTACAGAGCTCAGATTCCTTCTCTGTTCAAGTATTTCCCTTAACTGTAAGAACTCTCTGTAGTGTTAGCTCTTAGATCCTAAATTTTTGAAAGGGACTTATCTTGATCATAGGCGGCCAAAGTAAAGGGAAAGGCTTAGTGTCGGTTGCTGTCACCATGACATGCGATGGTCAGTGGGCTATGACCGTTATCTCCCTGGCTTACTCAGTGCCTGGCTGCCCCACGTCTGTGACCAGGAGGGAGGCGGTGTGTTGGACATGGTCTGCGAGGCCCCCAACATGGCTGGGTCATCAGTGATAATCTGATTAAAGGGGATTAAAGGGTCTAAAATGATGGTTGTGCATCTGATAAAGCGTTGGTGGAGACAGAGATGGTGCAAGTTGTTTCTCCAGACAGATGGACAAAGAGGCTCAGAAATCTCACACTGATTTTTAGTTCAGGTCCACTTCGCAGCAGCCCATTGGAGAAGTCTCCTGGTGAAAATGACTTCATTCCCTTTGATAGGTAAAAGTTATGGTTTCCAATTCTATCTTTATATTTATATACTGCTATTGTCCTAGTGCCTCTGAGTTCTAACAAGTCATTGCCTGTCATTTAAAATAATGCCTTTATTAAAAATTAAAATGGCTACTGGAGAAAGCTAAGAATAAGTTCTAAGGAGTTACTTCTAAGAGGAAGAAGCTCTAAGTGAACATGAAGAATTTGTTAGCTATGAAGATGAATTTCTTAGGATATGGAATAAGTAACTGGATCTTCCTTCTCTTGAGGCCATAAAAATACTTGGACACAGGCAGGGGATAAATGAGATGGGCTCTCAAGGCCATTCTCTGAGCCCTGAGCTCCACGAATATGTCATAAATGGGGTTTGTGGGAACAAGAGGGCTCCAGCATTATCCCCAAAGGCGTGGATCCTACCAGGCTCCTCGAAAATGTCCTGGGGCAGGGAGGCAAATGAATACAAGGGACAACGTCACCCATTAGCCAGACATACCTTGAAATAGTCGATAAGTGCTTTCGAATACTTCACAGCATGATCCCTTTTGAGTCGAAACATCCGCCAGTAAAGGAGAGCGAGGCATCGGTAACTGCAGCAGAAGAAGAGAAACCAGCCCTGAAAGCATGAGCGTGTCCTTTGCAAATGTCTGTAAGTATATGACCTTCCTTTTGCTCAAAAGATATGCTCCACAGTTTCGCGGAGTTACTCCCTAAATATATTTGCCATTTTCGTTCATTATTAGCTTTATTACTTTCTTGGGGCGCGAGGCTGGCCATTTCTTTCTCCGCCACTAGAGGGCAGGGTCTCTCCGCGAGAGGGGTGAGCAAGCTCCAGCGCGCAGCTTCCGCGGCTGACTTTCAGAACAGACCCATCTGACTTCCCTCTGACTCCCTGGACGCCTGGCAGCAGCGCCTTTGCTGAAAGACCAGCCTTCCACCTATTTTTATTCCTTTACTTTTAAACTACCTTACTGGATTATGATTAGTTCAAATAAAGTAACAGGTATGAAGGTCTTTTATAAACAAAACCTCTATGCTGAGAATAGTTATTATTTATTCTTTTATATATCATTTGCATGTTAGCATTCTTTCCACTTTATATATTAGTTATTCATCACCATTAATTTATTAATCCTAATATGGAACTTAAAGTTCAAAAAGAGCACAGAAAGTATTTCCTGACATATCTTCTTTTGCTTGGTGCTTTTTGCTCATAATTATTTGCTAGGTAACGCAGGTACAGTGCCGACGTGCTAGGTCACCAACATATCAAATGCAACCTGATGGCTTCTCCTTAGCGCATCGAACTCCAGATGATGCGATGATGCAAAATGACCTGCGACCCTCTCTTTTCTGTATGTTGCTGTTGTTATTTTTTTTTTGAGACTCAATTGTCTAACTTGCAAATCAGGTTCTAGAGTGAAGTATGAACCTTCAGAGAGCAAAAATTTTGCATCCCTGTCACAGGAGGAACCAATAGAGAGGTGTCTTGTGATTTGGGGGAGTGCAGTGAGGTGTCCTAAGGAGTTGTAATGAGGAAAATTATTATTGTAATCAAATAATCATTATTATAGTTATTATAGGAAATAATCTATTATGTGCTGATAAACATTTTAAAAGAAATGTTTTTGTTATCAAAGTGTAATGAACTGCTCCTCAGTTCAAGATGCTGAGAACTTTAATGCATTGTCTTGATTCAGTCATACTAAAGTAAAAAGACAAATTATTTTGATTGCAACTAAAATGTTAAACACAAGAAAAATTACATTTGGCCCAATTCACATTCAAATTATTCAAACACAGACCTACCTGATTTTAACACACACACACACACACACACACACACACACACGCACACACACACACAGAAAACCTTATCCTTGCCTAATGGACCTGCCCATTTTCAGTCGATAAAGGCACATCATAACTAGTGTAGATAGCAGCGAGCAATGGGGTGGGCTGTGCCAGGCCACTACTAGATCTTAGGCTTTGCATGGTAGAAGGCAGTAGAAAATGTGCATTTCAGCACCTGGTGTGCCTATGAAGACACACAAGGCTGGGGAGGCTATTTTAAGCTGATAGGACGCACTCACCACAACGCAGCCAGCTGTTTATCCTCTGGTGTGGCATTGGGGCCTGAGTGGGTTTTTAGTCTCATGGCATACCTAGGGGAAAAAAAAGCAAACCAAAGAAAGGAAAACTAAAGACATTTAAAATAAGCTTTTTTATTAACAATAGATCATCTTCTATGATGGGAGTTCTCCCTGCCCAATACTTAGTTTTCTATTGTGCTTGCTCATAATTCTTTCCTAAAAGCTAGCTGATGCTGCCGCCCTGTTTTCCTGAAGCATTATATTATTGTGATGACTAGAATAAAATGACTTTTATAGCCATTTAGCAACTTTCTGCTCTTTAACAATATAAGTTAAAATGCTACAGATGGTTGAGAGAGTTACCAGTTCGAGCATTATCCACGTATATGGCGACACATCCATTTTTACAAATTTTGATTTATGGCTGAGAGGCTGACAAGATGGAGGCAAAATTCAATCTTTCCAGGCCAATCTCCAGAAAAAATATTCATTCCTTGTACTCAGATGAATGCTTGGATTTACCTTTTTTTCATTGTGATGGAACAATTACTTTGACAGCAGTGTAAGTGTCCTGGGTGCATAACTAGTGGCTTTTACGAATTTCACTTAATCCCACTTATATCCTGGAACCAGGGGGACTTGGGCCATTTCTTTCTCCAACACTACACTAAGTTTTTGCAGACTCTTTGAGAGCTGAGGCAGTATGTGGAATGGTCAGGGAGCCCTCTGTCCAAATTCCAGTTCAGACACTGATTAGTTGCCAGAGCTGAGACAAACTAACATCTTTAAGTCTCCATTTCCTTAGTTGCAAAGTAAGAGTAATACTGCTGACAACACAGCATGTTGCAGGGTTAACAGAGATAGTGTCTTCTCCTTTTGGGATGCCAAAGACACACATGTTGGGTCTTTTGTCATTGTTCTTGAGGCTCTATCTTTGTTTTTTTCCAGTCTATTTTCTCTCTGTTGCTCAGGTTGGATAAATTCTATTTCCTGTTCATTGATTCCATCCTGTCATCTTCACTCTACTACCGAACCCATCCAGTGAGATTTTTTTTTTGTTAGTTTGGGCAAAAATTATTTTACCTAATGGTATTAGACATTATCTAAAGCAGTTGAGCTGGCTTAAAACATAAGTGATATGACAAAAGTTCTCAATAGGGTTAATGAGTGGAATTTTCTTAATGGTTCTTTAAAGAGATATTAAAGACATGCCTTTCTGGGTCTCTACCATGAAAGAAAAGCATCTCTTGCCAAACCCTTGGTGTGCTCCCATCAGAAACCCTGCTTCTGCTCGTATTACATGTTTTAGCCTGGGCTGGGGGATGGTGCTCATATCCAGATATCAGAACATAAACATGCCAGGATATACTCAGACGGGGCATCACAGGATTGTTTTCTTCCTAAAATCTCCCTGCGCTTGCTTTCCTTTCATTAAACACTCCTGAGTCATTTACTGATGGAGTCAGGATTGAGATTATACTGACCCAAATCACATACAAAAAAAGCAGCATAGAGGTGGAATGAGTTAAAGATCTGTCACTTCCGAGCTGGGTGAAGTGGGCATATCATGTGTCACTCAGCCTCAGCCTCCTTCCTGCGGCCAGTTAGGGGTTATTGAAGCTGCGCCCCCTCGGAGTGGGATGCGGAAATCCCTTTCTTTTGGAGATGGACACCGGTTCTTGGTAGCTGATGCGCAGCTGACTCTCTTTTCTCTGTGTTCAGAGGACTCACACGTGCCCCCCCACCCCCGGCCCCCAGCAAGAGCACACAGCACTGACCTGATGAGCTCCACTGTTTCCGAGTACATCGTGTAAGGGGATTTGGATTCCATCGGGCCCTGCTCCATCGCATTTCCACACTCGATGAATGACAAGGCCGCCTCGGCGTAGTTCAAAGCCTTCCCAAACTTTTCCACCTGAACAACAGGGTTAATATAGTGTCTTCCTTAAGTACATAGTTTTTTAAAATGCCATTGTCACATAGTCTACATGCTCTGAGAAACCTGACTTTTGAGTTCCAAAATGCAGTGAATGGAGCTGAGAGAAAAAATAGGAGACTTCCTTCTCTAGTTATCTTCACAACTACCCACTGGTTTAAGGTAAGTGAGCGAATTATGTACAGAATCGTACCAAACTCATATAACGACTGCCAATCAGAATTGCTCAGAACTTAGCAGTTGCTCTAATTTCTGTTCCCTCTTTCTGACACCTAATGGCTTGTCAATGTTATTCCTTGTCATTCTATGTGAAGCTAAATCTTTAGCAAAGCTGGTAGGTCTGACTCTATATAAGAGTTTTCATACTTTTTTTGGGGTATACTCCAACTTTGATGGTTTACGACCTTCATTATTGTCTTTTAATTATCTGTGACATTTACATCTCTAGGCCTTCCTCTTACTCTCTCTTACTCTCTCTGTCTCTCTCTTTCTGTGTGTGTGTAATTATTTCTTTAAAAGTTCAGGATCTCATTTAAGGCTGAGAATAAGGAGAAGAAGGAAGAGGAGATAAAACTCAAGGCACTATTTCAGCTTAGCTAAAATGGGACATAGGGTTGAAATTTAATAAAAAACATTTTTTTTAGATTCTATAAGGTTGTCTAAATTGACATAAATTTTTCGCCACATCAGCAAGAATCAGCTTTGCAGTCTTAGGTTCTCATAAACCTAAACTTACATATCGAGTTCCTGGTTCCATCCACTGCTACTCTCTGTGGATAAGTACACATCCTAAGTTTGAAAAGCATAATTTCCCCAGTTTTCAAATATTCATTCATCAATCAAAATGGAATTACACAGATACTCTAATTATTAATATAAGTCTTGCCTCTAAAAAAAAGTTCTCACTCGTAAGGATACCTTAGAAAACAGAAACGTAGAGTGAAACTCCCTCCTCATTAGCAAATCGGATTTTAAAACAGCTTACAACCCTAATCAGCTATTGAGCAATATTTCTTGGCAATATTTTAAGATTTAGGAAGTCATTTCATTCAATAAGTATCTTCTGAAGCACCAAATCCTGTGCTATGTGCATTTGATACACAGGAACATATAACACATCTGGAGAGAGAAAGTATGTATCCATAAGACACTTCATAGTGCAAGGTGGTCTGTGATGAACCAACAAAACGCAAAGCAAGGAGTCTGGTGCACAAGAGATGATGAGAAGGGAACAAGTGATAGGGCTGCAAGGAGGGTGGGGAGGTCTTAAGAGGAGACCTGAAAAAGACACTGGGAAAAAATGATTTGGCTGGATTTGGGAGTACGCTAAAGGTGTGAGTGTGCAGGATATTGAGAGAGCGTGTAAGTATGTGTGAGCTGTGAGTGTGTGTGAGGCTTGACAAGGACAAAAGCCCGTTAGCTGGCATGAGCAAAGTGTGCTTAGAGGTCGGTAGGGGACCAGCCTCCAGTGGTGGAGTGTTGGGTTGGGTGAGAGATGAAGCTGAAAAAATAACCCTGGTGACCTTGGGGTGATTTAGGTAGAAAATTTCATTCTGCTTTAAAATTCGATGCTCTTCTCTAATAGTGACCAAGCCTCAGCTTCCTCAGGTGACCAAAACTTTCCATCGGAACTACACCTTCCATTTCCTGTTTCATTTCTCCTGTACACTAGTGTACCTGGGCAGCGATCTTCATACAAATTAATATTTGATGGACAACATCCAAAGAACTGGGAGAGGGGTACTGTTATGATTTCAATATCCTCGACACTGGGATAACACGATGAAGGGCATTTGAGATGTCTCATTCATCTCCAGGTCCCCGATCTCAGTTATAAACACTGGAGGGCAACAGAGTTGGCTTTCCCCAGAAGGAAGCAGGCCCCTTGGTGGAGACTTGAGATGGAATAACCATATGATCTCTTTTAGAAAAGAACAGAAGTTTTTTTTTTTTTTTTTAAATCTAATGCCTGAAAAGCTTCAAACTTTCCCAAACAGGAGATTCTCCAAGGAAAAAAGTTATTTTTTGTAAACATCAAATCACGGTGACTTTAGAGTCTTATGTGCAGTATAACAGTTTCTGTGTTCATTTTGGCAGATAGAAATGAAGAACACGAGTCTTTATGAAAAGGGATTAGATCCTGGGACCAACCCAAGGGTTGGCCAGGCTAACAAGACAGAAAAATGCATACCTAGATTTTGTTTTTAAAGGGAAAAAATACTGCCACCCACTGACTCCACTGCCTCTGGTTACTATTCAAATCTTAGGACTAAATGAAAATATTCATTTATCCAGGGCTTTCTCCCAGTCAGATATTATTGGTTGAAGCCATAATTTATTGGGCTATGAACACTTAATTATATAACATTTCTTCGTTTAACAGACCCAGCCATCCTTGTAATAGATTTTATAATTACCCCAGCTTATATTGCACCAGTCATGGAGGTACAGTACAAACATGATTCGGAAAGAAAAGGAACTCACCATTGCATCTGCTTTATGCTTCATCCGTTTGGCTTCTTGCATAAAATAATCTGCACTACGCGGCCTACAGGAGAGGATGCTATTAAATGCCATTACTGTGGAAGTATGAGATCTTTTGAAAGAAAAAATAATCTTTCCTTTTTCTCAACCTTGAATTTCAATATGAAAACTCCCCTTACGATGGAATCAGGTGCTTTCTGCATTTCCAAAGTACTGCCCATATATAAAATACCACAATTACATTTCCTTAAGTTAGCAATTCAAAGTGCACTCATTATATGCAGATAGTCTACCTTTACAGTGTTTTTAACATGGTTCCCCAGTACCTAATTGGTGAATCAGATTTTTTATTGCATGGTTAAGAAAACAAGTGAAAAATCTTATTTCAAATGATATTTACACAAAATAATCACTTTTTAATGTAAAGATTGCTAATATACCTTGTAATAATTGTATAGGTATGTATGGGTGAGTACATTTATTATTACTCTTATGAAAATCAGTGTCATTTATATGCATAAATGGGATCTGGAATTGTATGTATCTATATAAATAATTATTTTAAGCTTCATGGTGAGTAATAAAAAGAGGTGATGCTGTATGAGTACATTCCAGTTACAGTGAGCTAATTGTAAAATGATGCCTACCTTGTAACAATGCAAACAGTGGCATGTATTCTCTGGAGCTCTGATTAGCTAGCTGGTAAACATTAACAGCAGACATGTGCATTATTAAAGCAATAACCCTGGCCAGCACTGAGTCTGCTGGGAGATGAAAGTAATTCATTCAGAGATAGATCTGTGTGTAATGACCCCAAATCACACCAAGCTGCTCATCAGACAATATCCTATAAATGCTCTGATAGATTTTTAAAAAAATCTGCATATTTTAGGTGTCATCAGCCTAAACTTTTTTTGTATTACAGGTCTTTATGTAATCAATAAACTTGTCCCATTCATGAATATCCAGTATAAGCCAGGACTCCCTGAAAAGGAGATAAGATGTAACTAGCGAAATTAATCATGGATCGTTAAATTTATTGTCAACATGCTAATTTTGAACTGCTTTCAGATTCTCATGGGTCTTTCTCTTTACTGCAATATTAGGTAGCCAGAGCATCCTTTTATCCAAAAAAGGTCAAAATGCTTAGAAAAACTACAAATACCATGTTGATAACATTGCAGTCCAAAACTACTATCCTCATTTTAATGGTTTTAATAAAACAAATAGATAAACCAGAATCACAGCAAATAATTAGTTTTGGGTCATGGGCCACAAATTATTGACGCAAAAGGCATTGGTTTTCTGTCCTTAGCTTCCCCACAAGATATTGTCAGGACTGTGGTTCCATGCTGGGTGTGTTTAACTTTTCCAACAAGAAAATGATGACCACAGTTGCAGTATGTATAATGAAACTCCTGCCTCTGGCTCATCATCCTGTTATCATTCTTTCTGCCACTAGTCTGCAACCTGCCATCCATGTTGGTGGGTCTTCACTGGTAAGTGGGGCTTGCAGTTTCCTTCACAGGAAGCGCCTGCTCCTACCAGCTGTCTTCTTTAGCTCGCCTCCTAGATGTCCATACTTCTCCATTTGAGTGGCTTTTTAGTAGCACTCCTCCACTAAATGATGATTTTCCTCCTTTGTCCACATACTGACCTTTGAACACATACCGACTGTTTGTTTGGTCTTTGGTTCCAACTCTGGCAATTTACATTATTTTCATTGTTGTTATTGTTTAGATTGACAGTAAGTGGCAAGTACAGAGAATTCCCATATACTTCCTGCCTCACATGCCCACAGCCTCTCCCACCATCAACATTCCCCACCAGAGTGGGCCATTTGCTACAATCCAGGAACCTACTCTGACACACCATTATCACTCCAAGTCATAGTTTACATTAGGGTTCACTCTCAGTGTTGCACACATTATGGATTTTGATAAATATATCATGACATGTATCTGCCACTGTAGCACCATATAGAGTAGTTTCACCACCTGAAAAACCCTCTGTGTTACTTTCTGGTTGTCCTCGTGTTTCATGCCTGAAGTGGAAGAGCAGACTCACTCCCAGCCCAAATCCAAATAAGAGCCCTGGGCTTCAGGTGGGGGTCCCAGAGTCGACGTCTTCAGGAGAGGAGTTCAGGATATCCACCCATTCCTCCCCTATTCTCAAATGCTCTGAATGTATCCTTGTAAACGTTCCTTCCCTTGTCTCAGTGAGACATCTGCCACAGAAGTCTAGGCTCTCATCACCTCTCTTGGACTTAGTTTTACTCTCCTCCAATCTATACTGGGCTTTAACTGCTGACCAATGTCTGTAAAATATGGCTTTCATCACATCACCACCCTACTCACAGACTTAAATCAGTCTCCAGTGCCCATGAAATCTCAGTTCAGGCTTCCAGGAATCTCACGCAGCTGTCTTGCCCATGTCACCTGCTCCCCAAGGCCCTCCATCACTGGGCTGTATCCTTACTGTTTTGTTAACATGCCACCCCCTACATTAGGAGCTTGGCTCACTCTCTCCCTCCCACCTGCAGACTCTCCTCTCTGCTCACTCACTGAGTGCCTACTATGTGCCGAATGTCACTCGTCTCTCAAATTCTATTGCCACAAGGCTTTCCTGGTAATTTTGGTCCATGTCTCTGCTGACCTCAGGTACCACTTCTTGTTTACATTACACTAATGGGCATTTAATTATCTTCTGACCAGTACCGGGCCACAATCACTGCATAGCGCCGCTGTACAGCTGGCACATTTTCAGCAGAAACTACACTATTGGCCTCTTTGATCTTTCCCATCCTGTAGTTTGAGGCACATGAGAGAAGGTAAACAGATTCTCCTTGAATAGCATTCTGAGCTTCGAAGAGAGTGGTGGCTTCTGATGGGTGCAGCATCAACGAGCCAGAGAACATCTCCATGGCAACCTGAAATTCTCTACATCATTATCTGCTCTACACTCTAGTATACGAGTTCACTCCTTTTTTTCCTTGCCCTGTTAGGTAGGCCTTGTCACTAACGGGCCATCATTTCAAATGCATTTTGTTTTCACGAAAGGGGTCTCTTGGTGATAAGCTGTGGCATCGTCATTTTTGAGGCTTCTAAGTTACCCTTCTGGATAGCTGTGGCTCCTAATTCCTAATATGAGATCTTCGATAAATGTTGTTTTTATCCGCAGCATATAAATGCATTTTTAAAATCTGATATGGAGGCTAAGTCACAAACTCTCACAGTAGTGTACATGGATAAGTAACGCATCTAATTTTCTGACTATATCACAGCAGCTCCAATGGAAACCTGAGATGCTGAAAAAATGTACCACCAAGAGGCCATTTATGAACACATTAGTTATAATTCTCATCTTTGCATGTAATGGAGGGCTCACTACATTGAGTCACTGAAGATTGCCTGATGATTGGCCCATTTCCCCCTTTTAGGGGATTTCTAGTGCCACGCTCCCAGATTAGATCATTGTAAAGGAAGGGGGCCAATGGGACATCATCCAGATTGTCCATCAGTGCAGTGGATGCATGCTGTCATGAAGGCGTCACTTCAACAGCAAGTTCAAGTCAATAGGAAAATAAAATTGTTGTCACCACAGTAGTAGTTACAGACTGTAACACGGCAAAGGCACTAAAATGAAATTAAATTATCTCTGTTCAAACAGATGTGTCATCTATTTGCATGGAAAACCTAGAATTTTTGTTTCTCATTTAGATAAGAACACTCTTCACATTGTTTCTCACAGCGATGGTATTTTATGAGGACATATGAGCAAACCTAATGAAAGTTCAATTAAACAGCATACGTGTAACTCACTGTGTATCTTAGGTGCTTCAGAAATGTAGCTTGAGTGACCTAAAAAGGCTAAGCTTAGCCGTGTCTACCTTTGTTCTAAGCGCTCGCTGCCATAAAAACAGTCTGTGCACTCGATCCAAAGAAAATCCTTTCTTCGCCTCACAGTCCCACCGCCCCCGCCCCACACACAGGGCCTTAGTCCTGAGCAGCAACGGGGTGTGAGCTACCCCAATAGCTCTTCTGGCACAGGATGATGAAAGCAGCCTTGTTTTTTGTTTTCTTTTGTGTCTGAGATAGAGTTGGACGGTCCCCCATGGCGAGGCTGGCAGACTGCTTTCCATAATTCCTACCTCTGTGACCCCTCCCCCACTGGCCCCTGGCAAAACCAGCCTGTTTTGTGAAACCTGGCAAGGATGGGAGGCTCAATGTGTTCGAACAAACAGGCTCCTTGGCACAGCAGAAGTCTGGGTAATTTTCTTAGGGAAGTTGAAATCCAAATCAGGCGAATAATAGGCAGCCGCAGAGCAAATGAATTCATCATCTGACATCATGTTGGCTTGTCATCTGATAAGCCCCAGAGGTGTTACTGTGTCCTAAGATTTGAGATACTTTCTCCACAAAGAAGAACATGCGAGAAGTTAAGTGATTATTTTGATGCACTGAGTAAGTGTGACAACTGATGAGGGCTCTTCAGAGCCAGTGGCCCTGGTGCTGGCACTGGCTTCATGAGTGTTTCTCAAAGGAAGCAAGTGGACTGCATTTAGGCAACAAGGATTCAAACACAGCTTTTGTGTCCACAACCTAGATGTTGGCTGGGACCCCAAAGCCCCTGGAACCTGGCTTCTAAGGTTGTTCATTCTGTCTCTTATGGGCCAACGGGTCTTGCTGACATGGCTTCTCTCTTGGCCATGCACAGAAACCAGCATGTGCTTTCCGGAATGTGCAGGCAGAGCATGGCAAGGTGTTGTCATTCAGTCAAAAACGACTTTCAGGTGGAATGGAAACTCATCAATTCGATGGCTGTTCTTCTCTGGGTGTGGCACTTAACATAAAATGATTTTACAAAACCCTTAAAATGATCTGAGAAACAAGATTTCAATTGGGGAGATCTGGATTCCCCATGTCCCTGCCCTAGTCCTTTCTTTCTTTCTCTTTTTGTTTTGGTTAGAAAGAGAATAAGGGCCTGGCTGAGAGATGGGGATTTTATAACAGAAAAAATATTCTGTATGAAGAACACTAAGGCATACCAATGATTTATCAGGCAAGGTGGGGTCCAGCTTTGAAGCAACCAGGAAGGGGAGACCCTTGGGAGGACAGCGATGACCATGGCCAGCCCACCATGGGAGCACCATGCCTTGATGCCACATCGCCTACCCAGGGATTCTAGTTGGTGTCCTTTGAATAAATTGTGCTGCAAGAGATCTGACCTTTTACATACAGCAAATGGTCCTTCCCATCCTCTATAAAACAAAAATCCTCCTAGCTGTGAGACTGCCAAGCGTAATTATGGTATAAATGCCAAGTCGTCTTCTTTTTCCACCAGTCACACCTCACATGCTGGGGCCTTTAGTGCCACATGGCTGAGAGGGTCTGTTTCTCAACGGTGGAGGTTTAAGGAGCTGGGCTTCCCTTACTGATGCCACAGGGACAGATGGGACGTTTGGTAGTTTGCCTGAACGTGTGGATGGTGACTGACTCTTCCTGTGAAATATGGGCACATTCTTCTGAGAGCAGCAGGCAGTTCTGGCACTCGGGGTTCGCTGGCTTCTCAACGCAGCAAGATGGCTGGTGGGATTGGATGCTGGGTTTTCCAATCAAGTGCTTCACCATTTAGCTCCGCTTAGGATTTCTGTACTGAGAGGCCTTTATGACACAGTTGTTCTCTCTCGATTTTCTCCAGCAAGAACTCCTCGTCACTAATTAAGACACCAAGTATTTTATGGCTCATGGCTTCATATTAATAAGATCAGTTTCTTGCCTTTGAGTTGAATCAAGTGCTGTCACTCATTGACATAAATTCTTAAGATTTTTTTTTAAACAAAAGCTTGGTAGTCACACCAGGGTCACCTTAAAACTGTGGCTGTCAGGTAGTGAATGTCATGCATGGATAAATGTCAGGGGAGGAGGTGTGGTCACACTGCCACCAATCTGAGCCTACTACTTATGCAGAACAAGGTGATCTTTAAGATAAGTGTTATTCTGTTTGGTTCAATCTGTATCCTGAAGGTACGAAGTGGTACCTGTCTAACTGGTAAGTAACAGGAAAAGGGGCTTGGAAGCCTGTGAATTTACCTGCATGCAGGTGCCTTACATTCATGGCATGGTGTTGCCATCCGGTCAAAAAAGACTTTCTGGTGGAATGGAAACTCATCAATTCGATGGCTGTTCTTCTCTGGGTGTGGCACTTAACATAAAATGTTTTTATAAAACCCTTGAAATGATCTGAGAAACAAGATTTCAATTGGGGAGATCTCGATTCCCCAGATCTGAGCTATTGGGGTAGCTCAGACCCCGTTGCTGCTCAGGACTAAGAACCTAATTCAGCTGAGTGCATTCAACACTTGTCACTGAGCACCCAATGGATTCAGCTGTTGTCTGAGTTCGATGTTTATGCAACCATTAACGAGTATTTATAATACAAAAGAATGAGTTTGTTCTTTTTTTTTTTTTTTTTAGCCACATGATGCGGCTTTAAAAATTAAATAACATCTGTTACTTTTTGGATCATTATAACTGGATTCCCATCAACTCTACTCCACTGCTAATTCTCTAGTTCTTTCTTTTCTTTTACTGGTAGCCTCTCTTCGGTCATTTCACTGCTTATTGACGCCTTCAAGTGAGGAGAAGTGAAGGAAAGTGACAGGAGTCAGGTCTTCATCTGTCAGTGAGGCTGCTGGTGGGGAAGCTGCTGGTGGGGAAGCTGCCGTAGAACACGAGCAAGGAAGGAGCAGAAGGTGGCTTCATGGTCCCTGGGGGCCTTCCTGGGGGAGCCACCCATGGGACTCCCTCTCCCCTGAATTAGCAACTGAGAATTAATTGTGTATCGTAGCTCCTGCCACAGCACCTAGAGCTTCGTTAAGTGCTCAGCACATGCTAGTTGAACCTAGGAGACAAATTATAGGTGACTTCATCGCCCAGTGATCTCTTAAAGACACTTATTTTTATTGTTTCAAGGAAGAGACCATGCCTAATTTTGCTTCTCAAGCAGAAGAACCTTCCTATGGCTTTCTTAGTTCAGTAGTTGAGTGGCCGTTTGAGTCACACATTTATTTCACTGTTAGGGATTTTGATTTCAAATCAGTTGGGACACAGGGCAAATGAAACAGGATGTCGCTCTCTCCAAGTGATGGACATGTAAGAGTGCTTTTTTATTCTATTAGATCTATGTCCATAAAAGGTGATTATTGTCGCTGTCAGCCAGAAAAATTAGACATGTTGCTAATGGGAATAACCAAAGATAACAGCCTCCTTGTTGATACATGTAGTGACAAAATTTTATTAACCCCGGCAGACTGAGAAATGTTTTCTCTTGTAAATAGTCTTGAGAAACTCCAGCTCCAAGTCTGATCATTTAGCTGTTGCTGATTCTGACTTTGCTTTCTGGTTCACACACTGGAAAATTCCTTACATTTTAATTTTCTCTGTGTGTATGTGTGCGTGTTGTGTGTGCGTGTGTATGTGTGTTTAAATGCCACACCCATAGCTTCACCTACTGGAAACATTTAACATTTCGAGCACCTCAGTGTATAACATACTTTGTGTATGACCAGGTGGTTAGATTATGACTTCTGAACGCAAATTTCCACACTGCCATTAAACATGATTCTAATCTCCTGTTTTCATAAATGGTTCAAGCTCACATGAATAATTTATACCACCGAACTCTAAATACATAGGTAGTTGATCAACTGACCGTAGTCTCATAACAGGGCCCTGCCCCAGGGGATTAATGATGACAAAAGGAAAATTCTGAGGTGTCCTAAACTAAATTACAGTGTGGAGAGTGGGAGGAAGAGACCAGACCAAGCAAGCAGCTACTGGCTGTGGGCCAACCAACAGCAGACTTCTCATGCTCCTGGATGTGTGTTGGGGCTCCACCCCGCCTCTGCATGCACTTTGGGACTGCTGCTTGTAACCCATCAAAGGTAACAAATGGTTCTTCCTTACGGACTGTGCATCTGTCCTAGAACTGCTCTTGCTTCTTTCAAAACAGCTTACGTCTTTCTTCTCCAAAACATAAGGTATAAAAGCACCCATCAACTCCAGGATGGTGACGTGTGACCTGCTTCATCCAGCCCTGCTGCTGGTGAGTTAGACTTCATGCCCCAGGATCTGCTCCCTTTCTGGGGAGCATGTGGCTCAATAAACCCTTTCTTTCAGAAAAGCTTTGGGCCAATAACGATTTTTGTTTAACTGTGACCACCTCCTTTGCTGCTTAGAGCAGTGGAGAAGAGGAGGAGGAGAGAGGTGATGAGGGCCAGAAGGAGAGCGAGTCTGGGATTGAGTGCAGCTGCAGCAGCGACAGGAGGAGAAAAATACATGTCCTCCCAGGCTACCCGCAAACTTTTGTAAATCCAGCTATCTTGGAACATGTTCATTAAACGAAACAAAATATTGTGGATTTAGCTTTCAGTCCCAAAATTCTGTGCCCAAATGAGCTTCCTGAAGCCCAGGCAATTCCCGAGGACCACAGCTTAGTATTCCATTCCTTGGACTCGTCTACAGAGGTGATGAACAGACCTTGTCTACACTTGGGTGAAATTAGGGTGGGAGAAAAGGGGAGGAGGCCGAGGATGAAAGAGCCGTCACTTCTGCACGGTGCTTTCATTCCTCCAGATGACCACCCTGAGGAGAGATCACCTAACTGGACCCAAGGAGAACCGCCGGGAGGTGGGTGTCACGACCCTCATTTTTTCTGGTAAGGAAGCTGGATGTGTAGACATTTAGTGTCCTTTAATTTTCCAACTTTGGGCTTAGTGGTTTATCATCTATCCTGAGCTGTACTGTAAGTTATCTGAAGGCAGGCTTTCCCATTGTCACACGCTTCCCCACCCCAAGAGTTAGTGTCGTGCCTCACACAGACATGCACTGGTACTCGGTGAACAGCCAAAGTCGAAACAGGCATCAAGCTAAACTCTTGAAACCATACTTCTGCCTTCTAGGTTTGTCCTTGACACATTTTTTCCCCTAAGGGTCTAAATAATTTTCAGTGCCATTTTTACCATTTCTCATTTGTCTTTTTCAGCATCTCAAGAACGTTCTAGGGATGTTATTTTTATTCATCTATTTCTCCTGTTTCTCCTCTTTTTAAATTGATGCTGGGAATGGAAGTAATAATTGGGTTTTAGTGCTAGGACTGGGTGAACAAGGACAGGATATTTTTTCCTGTATAAAAACTGTTTATACTGTCATTAAGAATATATCATTTTAGAGGAAGAGAGCCTTCAGGAGCGAACCACTATTATTCTTTGCTTGTTATAATTTACAAAAACAAAAAAGCTTCTCTTTCAGGTAGCAGACAGCCACTGACAGCCCCAAACACAGGTGCTCAGAAATGTAAGACTCATTAACACCCAAATGCCTTCGCTTTCTGATATCCTGGATGCAACCGCATTAGCACTGGTCGTTATAGCCATTCAAAAGTCCGGCCAGGACCCAGGGGTCCAGTAAAAGTTAAGGTGCAAGTCCCTTTGAGAGGGGAACATTTAACTGACCAAGTCATGTCGGACATGGCTACACTATAATTTAGATGCATGTAACCCTTCTACATGTGGAGTTGTCATTTCACCTTGTTCCTCAGTGTGTCAACAGATTTCACACTTACATATCGTCGAAGACAAGTCTCTGCCTCTTGCAGTCCTGGTGGCTGTTGGAGCCAGGAGACCATGGCTCTGTCTGTGGCCGTGACTTATGGACAGCATTTTCCGAATTGTTGTGAACCATTTTCTGAACAACAAACAATACACGGTCTTTGAGAAACTTGCCCTCTGACTGGGTAACAGGTTTGTTACCCAGAACACCTTGTGTCTGATTTTTTGTTTAAGTAAAGAAAAAGAATGCATGCATTCCAGTTCTCAAGCTGAGGGCTATCAGGTATGGGGTCCAGTGTCATTCTCACCACACTATCATGAGGGAGGTCACTCACAGATGCAGAAACTGAGGCTTGGCAAGGTTAAGGTACTTGCCCAAGCGCAAACGGCGACGGTGGGTGGAGGCCCAGGGCTTAGCATCTACTTTTCCCAGTTGACCAGACCTGCGTTCTCCAAGTTGACTCTGCATCAGCATCAGAGACTGCTGGGCCCCATCTCCAGAGTCTCCAATTCAGTTGGCCTGTGGTGGGGCCTGAGAACATGCATTTCTAACAAGTTCTAAGTGACGCTGATCCAGGGACCAAGCTTTCTGAACCACTAAGCTGTAACTCATGGTTCCTCAGAAAAGAGAAGTCATTCAGGCCGCCAACTGACTAGTTATCATTTACGGTCTGTGAAGGTTAGAAAAAGCCAGAGGGAATGACTAGATACTAAAATGTGTTTTTGGTCTATGTCCATGCTACCCTGAACGAGCCCGATCCTGTCTGATCTCAGAAACTAAGCAGGGTCAGGCCTGGTTAGTACTTGGATGGGAGACCACCTAGGAAGACCAGGTGCTGTAGGCATAAAAAATAAAATAAAATGTGTTTTTGAAAAACAACACTATTGATCTGGGGAAAACTTAAAAAATCGTATTTCCTGGGGATACAAATATTTACGGAGCACTCACGGTATGCTTAATACGTGGGTCAGAACACAACTGTTCACATCGATTCCTCTGAAGTAATTAAAGTAGAGTGTATACAAATGCTTCTTTAAATATGGACCACTTCCACGTGCCGATCAAGCCTTCTTGTAAGAGCCTCTGGCACTCTGTGCGTTTCCTTCTTGGCAGGCATGGTAACTAATTATGGATGTGTGTGACCCCTCAGCTAAGTCACTCTAGTCCCCAGCCAGGCTAGGGTTTCGTGTGGGAGGGACCGAATCTATTAGATCATCGTTGTTATCTCCACTGCCTGGCACACAGCAAGTGCTTGCTCGATAAACATGTGTTTCGTGAAAGAATAGCTAAATAAAGTCTGTAATTTCTTTTTATAATTGTTAGCACACCATAGTTGCTTGTGACATAAGGGTCTAGAAGCAAAGAAAAGTTTTGTTTGTTTTTAAATTTGAATCGTAGCTTTTTATTTCAGGTTTTTCTAGTGTGGTTCTCTCAGATCCTGCAGCCTAGAATTAAAGGTAATTCTTTCCAAATGAGGGTACATAGGGGGTTAGCTTCCTGATGACACGGTAAGATTTAGGCTCTTGTGGGAACTTCTCACAGCGTTTTTACATCTTTTAGTTCGTGGGACAGAGTATTAAGTACTGCCTCCCGCTACCTCTCTGCAGGGTCCTATTGTCGTGTCTCATCACTCCCTGCCTCACAAGCCGGCTGGTTTTGACAGGCAAAGTAACCTGAAGAACTCAGTGGGGAGAGTTTGGAATGAGCTAATGTGCCCCACAGGATGCCTGGTCCAGGGCCACCCGCTGGTCAATAGAGGGGGCAGTAAAGAGGAACTAACGAGTAGTGTTAGTTGTACAGGTGTCCACAGGTGTTGGGTTCTTTAAATAACACCATCTCATTTAAATCTTATGACACTGTTTTGCAAATAAAACAGGCTCTAAGAGATGAAGCAGGTGGCCCAAGGTCACGTGGCCACTATGATATAAGGAGAGGCAGGCTGTGGATCCCAATACCCTGCCCTCCCTGGCACGAGAATCGCCCTGAAGAGGTTGTGGGAAGAAGGGTGGTGGCGGGGGTGGCCCATCGTGGCTGCTACACTAGTCACCAAGGGCAGAACAGGAGCCCTGAAATCTTGGCCTGAGGTTCCCCATTCCAGGTTTAACTGTCCCAGGGCAAGGAGTCTTTTCCAATGAAAAGGTAGGTTCGTCTAAAACTCCCAATTCACTTTGTCTCCAGATCATGTTGCTTTGGGGTGCTTTCTTTTCAGGATGAGAAATGAAATCCTACAAAGAGCCTTCCTCAGCAGAAGGACCCTCATGGGGACTGTCCCTCTACAGCTCTCCTGGGCATGGACTTCCCACGGCAGCCAGGGGGCACCTTTCTGGGACCTCAGGCTGGTGTTCAGACTGCTGGGCTAGAGATGAGGAGCGGGTGTGCTCAGCTTCATTTTTACTTTAATTGGGACAGGAAGACACCAACGCACCGTGAGTTCTCCGCTGTGAGGCTGCAGCTGGTTCTCGGCCTTGTGCTTTTTGTTGGAGGGGGCAGAAGTGAACAAACCGCCACCATTGGACCTGCTGGAAGACGTCAGGTCCTCGTTGGAGTGTTTGTGTTTAGAGGCATCAGAGAGGGGTGAGATCGGCGACCGGAGCATTTTTTCATTTTTATTTATGGGTATTGCCAAGCTGAAAAAGGAAATCGCAGTAATGGAATGTCACACAGTTGGCACAGGGAGAGGTAAACGTTTTATATATGACCCAAACCTCCTATTTAAAACCTGCTGGCAGGAAGATGTTTAGGGGGAATTATTATACCAGGAAACAATTTTATGGCATTAGGGCCATAACAAACAATAAGCAAATTTCACTCATCGTTTCTTTACTCGTCCTACAGGATGGAGAGTAATTCTGGAGTTAAACGACTAAGAATAATAAGACTTTCATTTTCTGAGTTTTTCATCCAGGAATCTCAAAATGCACACAGCTTTCTATTTTCCTAATAAGCATAAGCAGCGAGTAATGAAATGGCAAAGTCAATCAAATGATATGTGAGTTCACCACTTCCGCAAGGACTTTTGCTAATACCTGATCTTGTACTAATTATATGAAGAATAACAGGATCATAGAATAACCTGCAAAGCAAGAAGCAACTTTCGAGTGTTGGGTGTCCAAGCAAGCCAGGCATTGATCAGAATTAACACAGAATAGAAACTGTCATCAGAAGTTATATTTTCCGATTTCTAGCTCCTTATTTTGCTTTCAAAATGACTGTCTATAACTCCCCCCAAAATTAATCATCAGAGAAGGGGAGTTACTTGTATTCAGCCTTTGCAATTCATATTATATTGACAGGACTTTCTCTAAAAGTTAACTTTGAAAAAAAACTGGGAGAAAACCACATTAGCCTGAAATAAAGTTAATCATTGCTAATTTGGGAGGCTCATAGATAAGAGTCAGTTAAGAAAGGTAAATCCATTTAACAAAGATTTAGTTGTTATTCTTGCAATTGGCTTTTTAATTGCCTGTGTTGGCTATCACTGCAAACAAGCCACTGAAGTCACTTCAAAACGCAATTTCTTTAGCTGGTGGTGACAGTATAGAAATTACAAACTCAGGCGTCAAATAATAAAGCTAAGGTTCTCAATGTTATGCAAATAGAGATGTGGAGGGATAGAATTTGTGGTGTGAGATTTCTGGTTCAAAAAGCACTGGACGTCTAACAACTTAGGAATGAGAGGATGCCTTCTGGAAAATTGCCTTGGGCCAATCAAAAGTGGCTCAGTTCATGATAAAGGTAGCGATGTTGGAGATGGAGGCCGATGGTCTCCATATAATGGTTTCTTGACATGTGAGAGAAAAATTCCTATTTTTAAGTCTACTATTTTGCACACTATGTCATTTTAAATGTTCATGAAAAACTAAATAATTACATTAAATATTGTCATAGACATAATGATTATTTCTTCTTCATCATTATAATATGTTTATATATTCAGAAACTTTGGATATCCTCTTTGGCGTGGGTGATCACCTTGTACATGGGGTTGTTTTATCACATGGTAAAACTTGAGACTGGCTATCATAAATCTAGAGGTACACAGACCACCTTTTCTAGAATATTCTCAAAGCACTTTGACATGTATCACGTTGTCATTTACCAGGAAACCAGAGCGAGCAGACTCTGCCTTGCAAAGGCTCTAGAGAAAGAGCTTATTTCCCAGGGTCCATGAACTTGGATGGAAAAAAGTTACATCTTCATTTTCATTAACCTCTCAATGAAATTGGACGTTTCCTCCCATTATGAATGAAAACAAGAGACCAGAGTAGGGGCATGGCAGGAGCAGTAGTGGCAACACCTTTTTTTTTGCAGGAATCACAGATATATTGTCACGTGACAGTTGCTACAGACCTCTTGAAATAGTGTTTATAGTCATTGCTACTAGAAATTATGGCAGTTAGTAGGTCTGCTAGAGAGGGTACCTGATGCATTTACAAAGTGGCACAAATATTAACTACACCGCACATTTTTGAAAGATGATTTGGAACCACATTTTCCCCATTCGCATTTTCTCAAAAGTTTGGGGTACTATCCCTTGGTGCAGAGTCTGTGGGAGAGCCCAGCATCCCTCTTGCTGACACCCTCAAGAGCCTTCGCTGTCCTGTCCAAGGTGAGCCTTCGCTGTCCTGTCCAAGGTGACTGACGTTGCAGTGGGGCCTGGCTTGTGCACCCTCCCTCACTCTCCAATTTCCTCTTTGAGTTTCAGTGTCGCTTTCTATCTTTTCCTAACTTTCCGGTTTACATTTTAATGTGTTGCACTGAAGCATTCATCTCCCCTTAAAAATTCAATGTGCAAGTCCGGGAGAGTGAAGTGTGTCTTTGCCAAGGGAAAGCAGCTTCCAAGCTGCAGTATCTCTAAATGGAAAGAGCTTCCGTCACTGATGGTGAGCTATTCGCTTACAACAAATACCTGGGACCTTGCCTGGCTAGAAAGACATTTGTCACAGAGGGGATTCAGTGTAGCATGCGTCTGTCTAGAACCCCTTCAGAGGAGTCACCAGGTGGCCATTTAACCTTGGAGACGGAGACCCTAACAGCACAATTTTAGTCCAAATCTAAAAGCTTCAGGAGCATCATATGGAGATTCCGCTCAAAGTTGATGTTTCTTCCTCTGTATAATAAGTTTAGTGTGCTTATGGGTATAGTGGCTACTAAAATAGTGGTCTGAAAATTCAGTTATTAAGTTTTCAGAGGGAAGAGTGCGTTTCTGGGAGTGTGTAACCAGTAACTGGTCTTTTGTTACAAAGAAGTATTGCCGCACACCTGGGGCTGTGACATGAGGCTCACACATCCTAGTACAATTACTAGCCTGAAGTGAAATCAAGGGATAGAAGTCTGGAGACCCAGACCAGAGGAGTGGTTAAAAAAATCTGACTCTCCCACAGTACAGTTGATGACTTGCAGACCCAGAGGTGCCCCCAGCTCACCTCCACCTTCAAGGGAACACGCATACCTGTTGATGGCCATGCTGCAATGGTTCGCAGACAAAGCATTACTGACAGAGGTGGTTGGTCGTGATGAGCTGTCCTTTTCCCCCTGGGCCTTCTTCATCTCCCTGTAGTCGTCTTCATTGTCACACTGTGTGGAAATGAGCAAAAACCAATCAACTATGGGTTTCAAGGGAGTGTAATGAGCTTGCGTCAGCAACCTCCACAGAACAGGCCTTCCAGGGGACCAGCTGTGCCGGCCTCTCCACGGAGAATCCTCAGCAGCATGGTGGTGGCAGCATTATTAGCTCTCAGCTTAGGTTCCCAGCAGCTCCTCATCAAAGATGAACTTTGTCCCTTTTACTACTGACAGTTTTTGAGAGGAAAAGCATGTACCATGTGGGACCAAAGTTTGGGAGGGGACACTGTGAATGATGACAACTTCTTGGCCATCAACACACCCAATTTAGCCAAAGACCTGTTCTGAATTCACACTGCAGCTTCAGTATCTCTCATTCTGGCATTTCTTGGTATCTGAATAAGGTATAGCAACGTGCTCTGGGCTTAATGCCATAAGGGAAGTGACAAATTTGGACTTTTTCTTTTGAAATTCATGGCTTTTATGAAGAGGGAGAGAGAGGGAGAGTGGATCTTGAAAGTTATCATCTGGAGAAAAAAATGTTATAACTATGTATGATGATGGATGTTAACTGGACTTATTATGGTGATAATTTTGCAACATACACAAATATTGAATCACTACATTATATACCAGAAACGAACATAATGTTATGTCAATTATATTTCAATTTTTTTTTAAAAAGCAGGAAGAGTAATGCATAAAGTACTAAAGTAGAAAACATTTCCCTGTCTTTCAAAGTCTCTTCCTTGACCTGCCATGGTGGTGTTTATTTGCTAGTTCATGCTGCACTCCTTGAGGGGTGGGGATTCTTGGGGAGGGGGTGAGTGTAGACTCTCAAGTGCCCAGGGGTCCTGTCCTGCAACGGGGTGCACAGGCACGGCCCAGCAGCAGAGGGTTCACGCTGTCAAGAGGTCAGAAAGTCTCATTGGGCATTTCCATGGCCCACTCTCCAACCCAAGGCAACCCAGCAACCTTTAAGGGACTGCAGTTTCCTCTCTGGGGCCCCTCCATACCTGAATTGGAGCTGGGCACGGTGCCTACCCTGACTCCACCCTCACTGTGCCTGCTCCCTGGCCCCTAGGGGCCCAAGGCAGCAACCCCGTCCATGGAAGGAAATGGCAAGGGTGGGGTGTTGCACAGAGCCAGAAGTGCAAAAGGCCAAAGGGCAGGCAAAATCCGTCCTGGGGAAATAGGTGGGACTGCAGGGGGGCCAAACTCCATGTGCCCCTGTGCATACTCTACTGTCCCATCACTCCGCATTAGAGAAACACAAGTACAAAGATAAAATGAAGAATTTCAAGATGGCAACCACAGGCATTAAATGAAGAATTTCAAGATGGCAACCACAGGCATTAAACTTCAAGCATGAACCCTTCTGAGGGGCCTTGTGGGAAAACACTACGCAAACCTTGGGCTGACTTCTTATTGCGAGACCTGAGCCGGACAGCCAGGGTTCTCTCCTGGCTCTGCCCCGTATCACCTAATGAACCTGGGGCACGACGCTTCAGAATCTCTGAGCCTCAGCTTCCTCATCTGTAAAATGGGCATGACAATAGTATTTGCCTCTAAAGCTGTAAGGACTAAATGATTTAATATGTAAAGTGCTTAAAACAGCATCCCTCATGGGGACATACTTATGTGTTAACTGTTGTTATTGATTTTGTCCTAATTTTGGAACCACCCATGATTACTGCAATCTGTGGTTTGTCATCCATTGTATTTTTCACTGTGGTTCAAGTGACTTTTGAAGGTACAACAACAGGAGGGGGTGAAAAAGCCTCAAAATTGGCTTTAATGCATGATTAAGTTATTCTCATGCTCAAAAAGCTTCAACAACTGCTAAGCAGTTGAGTCTGCTTCCAGGAAGGTGTCCAGCCTTCCCTGCTCTCCAACTGCCTTTCTCACTCCTGTGCTCCCCTGTTCACACTTTTCCCTCTTTTGGTGCAATTTAATCCCTGATACTCTGATTAGTCGTGCACCATGTAACGATGTGTTAATCAATGATGGACCACATATATGACAGTGGTCCCATAAGATTATCATGGAGCTGACAAGTTCCTGTCACCTAATGGCATTGCAGCCATCCTAACATCATACACATCATTCGCATATGTGTGGTGATGCTGATGTAAACAAACCACTGTGCTGTCAGTTGTAGGAAAGTATAGCACATACAATTATGTACAGCACACAATGCTTGATGATGATAATAAACGACTATGTTACTGATTTATTCATTTACTATACTATATCTTTCATCATTATTTTAGAGCGTATTCTTTCTACTTACAAAGAAAGTTTACCACAAAACAATGTGCTGTGTTACGCTGGCAGCAGCCTCATACATCTTGTATTTACTGCGTAACTTGATTGCATCATTTTCTCTTGTGCTTGATTTAATCTCGTGTTGTTTGGACAGCAATGTGCTTGTACAGGCTCCCAGCCCAGGAGCAACAGGCTATCCCACATGTCTAGCTGTGCAGTAGGCTAGACCACCTAGCTTTGTGTCAGTGCGCACTGTGAGGCTCGCACAACAGTGACATCACCCAACATGTTTCTTAGACCCTCTCCATTAGGGACACGTGGCTGTACTTGAATGTCCCCCCTCCTCAAGGCCCTGCTCCCAGTCCCTCTCCGCTACTGAATTCTGCTCGGTCAACACAACTGGGAGCAACAGCTGCTCCCAGTTCAGATGCTGCAGCTGGCTCCTGCAGGGCCCTGGTGTTGGGCACTCTGTGTTCATGCTTCACCCAGTCCCAGCCTCGAACTCTATGGGGCTGTTGACTTCTTAGTCAGTGAATGATCCCATTACTGATGTCACCCCACCCTTTCCAGCAAAGAATGGGGTTCACCTTGTGTTTTGCTTTTGTACAGGCCCAGCCTCCAGCTTGCCTCGCACACTTGATAAAGATTTCCCGTGTTCCTACTTCAGCATGCAGTGGTATAGGGGTTCATTATTTAGAACCATAGAATGGGAATAATAATGGTATTTCGCGCACTGAGCGGTTCCAAGGACTGAGTTACACTCATAGCAGTACCTGGCACACACAGAATACCACGTGAATGCCTGCATACTCCCTCCCACCAGGCCATCATCTCCCAGCCTACCTTGCGTTTCCTCTTGGATTTTGGCAAAGCCTTTTCGGCAGGTGTGTCGGATGGCTGGCTGGGAGGTGCACTATCGGCGTCCTTGGTGGCAGGAGCACTCAAGACCCCCGGCAACCGGGGCAAGTGTTCTGGGATCCTGGACAGAAGGGTCAGGTCGATTTTAACCCATAGGGACCTGACCTCATCACTGTCCTTCAGTGGGGAGAGTAGTTCATTGCGGCCGAAGGGGACCAGTGTGTAGAACTGCTCCTCCAGCTCCTTGGCAATGTCATTGGTGGTCCTGGCGTTGATGGAGCCCACCGGTGCACGGGGGCCACCGCCTCCGCTGATGCTGCCGGCAGCCTCCTTGAGCCTCTGGTCACTTGCAGAGGCTGTAGCAGCCACCGCCTGTGCTTTGGCCAGAGGGTACACCTCCTGCTCTGACTCCAGGTCTGAGTCCGAGGAGGAGGACGAAGATGATGACTCTGTCTCGATGAACTCCTTGGACTTGGGAACAATTCTGCTCAGCCCCCGTGTGCGGCGCTTCTCACAGGTGACAGAGGCAGAGGCCCGTAGCTCCTTGCGGTGGCCTGTTCTGCTGTTGCTGCAGGGCCTGGCTTTGGTGGGCTCTGGGGGGATCACCACACCTGTCCCCAGGGCGTCGGCGGGCTCCTCAGGCCGGTGGCAGTTGGCGCTGTCGCTGGCTAAGGTCCTCTCCGTGCGCCTAGGCGGCTTCTTGCCTGCAGACCTGCGAGCAGGCGTGTTGTCGGGGGGTGCGCCGGGGACTGCAGGTGGCGGGGCAGTTGTGGTTACAGCCACTGCCACGGCCGCGGGCGGGGACTTCTGCTTCACCCCCTTGGCCCCTGGCGCCTTGTTTGCTGTCCTTGGCCTCTGCTCCTCCTTGCAAGTGCTCTTGATGTCCTTCTCTCTCAGGACGGCCTGGCACCCATCTGGGAGCTTCGTGCAGTCCTGCACTTGGTCTTTCCCTGGGGCGTAGTACTGGCTGCCCTCCGGCTCGTGGCTCTCATTTTGTATCAGGATAGGCGGCTTGTGGGGATTAACTTTGTTCAGCCATTTATCCAGCTGCCACTTGTTAGAGGACGCCGGCTCAGCCTAAAAGCAGAAAACCGACAACAAACAAAACATCTTTTACTACTGACTCACTCAAAAGGGGCCGGGCTGTTTTTATCTTCACTTACTCCCCTAGGTGTATGAGCAGAAAACCAATGGGCTGGAAGCAAAAGAACGTGGGCACAGTGGGAGTGTGGGGCAGCTCTCGTTGTGGTGTCCCTTTCCTGTCCCAGGTCACCTAAATGGCAGAACAGTACTTTGAAGCCTTTTTGGATAGCACTGTGCTCCATTAGAACCCATTTCCAGCACTTTTGAGTGTTATATGATGTATATTTTTTATAATTATACATAGATACATAAACTTGAGATTCCACGAAAGTTAGTGGGGGCATAGTTTGGAGGCTCTGAGTGTTAAAGCACTCATTTTTTTGGTAAGACTTAAAATTTGGGGGGAAATCAGAAGAGGGGACCAAGTGGAACCCATAACCCCAGTGAAGGAACATAGAGTTAATGCCGTGAAGACAAGTAAGGCATGGTTACTCTTGCGGAAGCAGTAACTGGGGGGATGGCTCATTCTGTGGTCTAGAAGTCCTGTTTCCGCGGGGCCTGGAAGGTTGGACTTGGTCAGTCCATCTTTGACCTGCCTCCACTCCACTTTGCCAGAAAAGTTTCAGACATGGAAGTGATGATGGAAACCTCTCTGCAAGCACTTTTGCTGACTCAGAACAAACCACAGAGGTGACAAGTTTAAACTTGGCCCCGTAGACTGGTTCCAGGGGTCAGTGACTGCCCTGAAACACAATATGAAACGTAGCATAGATGCACTTTTCTAGGAGAAGGCAATAGTTCTATGTCTCATAAAAAGGTTAAGAAATGATGATTTTACAGGGAGCAATTGCTTGATTAGTTGGTTTCTAGTAACAGTCCAGCATGTATGGGAGAGGCGGCAAACATTCATGGCAGGGTATGCCACATACACTGGCCCCACCGCCATGTTTAATGTTACTTCTCCCTCCCCGTTCCATGGCTCACACCTGTAACGTGGGGGAATGTGGATGACTGCCTATAGCCAGGACACAGCTGCACATGGGGAGATGTGCACTGAGACACCCTGGTGGGAGTGCTGGCAGTGAAGGGGAGAATTGAATACACTCAGTGTGGGGCCCATGCCTGACGTGCTTTAGGGTCATTTCTTCTGCACTTCACAGCTGAAGAAAGCAGTTTCAAGGGCCATTTTCAACACATCACTAAATCACACTTCCTTTCTCAAGGATCTACAAAGCCTTCCTATTACTGCCTCTTAAATGAAATCCAAATTCCTTGGGCTGGTGGTGTTCAAGAGCACCCATCATCTTTCACTGCCGCAACACCCACAATGTACCTCCCACCTCACACATGTCATCTAATTTAATCCATACAGACAAATGTTATCACTCCCAATTTGTAGCTGAGGCTCAGAGGGGTTAAGTGACATGTCCAAAGCTGCCAGGTCATTAGGCACCACCGAGACTAGGTTTAAAGAGCAGCTTCTTTCCCCTGCTGCTTCGTTTCAACTCCCACTGCTGTCTGGAGCAGCTTTCTGGAAGGGGGACCTCATTCCTTTGAGAAATGTTGGTCTACAAACTAAAATGATCCAGTTAGGTCTGATTTTCGGAGAACACCACTAACTCCCCCAACATTGCCTGTGCCCTCTATATCCTCAACACATAGCCTTTCGATATCCATATCCATTTCATGTGTACATTTTAGGTCTGTTCCTTTGTGTCCCCTGAAGTGGCTGTAACAGGTTAAGGAAGCAGACTGCTCTGAGTCTGCTCCTACTAAGACCCACTCACAATGAGCTGTCACTCAAATTGTATCATTTATCCCTCAGGACAACCGCACAGATTGTCCTCACAGGGATGTCTGCCATTTGGTGGGGGAGGCGCTTGTGGCCAAGAAGCTTAACCATGAAGAGTTAAGTGGCAGTGAAGAGGGGGAAACGCAAAGCTTTGAACCCTCGTCCATGGGCATGCTGCTGGTATGGCCATCCATCAGAGTCCCTGCCCAGTGTTTTGTTTGTTTGCTTACCTGCTGCTTTGCACTTTCAGCCATGACCCTCCTCCCTGGTTGCTCTTCTCTCTGTTCCTACAGAAGCATTCACCTATGCTTTCTCTGGACCCCGCTGCCAGGTACCCCAGAGATGCCTAATTAAGAAGCTTGTGGAAACATTGAGTAACTTGTCTCTCACTCCTGCTGATTTTCAAGAATCACTTAGGGCAGCATTTTCCAAAATGTGCTTTTAGTTTGCATCGTCCATGAGAAAAGTTTCCATGGTCAGATAAGTTTGGGAATTCACAATGGAAAACACAGTCTACCGGAGCATTTCTGAGGGACGGTGAAGCCCTAGATCTAAGAGAAGGGTTAAACCTACTAAACCCTGGCACTCCTCAAAACCAAGGGACCAGGCTCTTTGTCCCTATGCAGTGCCTGTGACTTGGGGAACGTTGATCTCGGGAGCTCCGTGTGTGGGTGTAAACATGCTAGCTGAGGGGGAAGGACTTTGATGTGAAAGGATGTACTGTGTCAGGAAAAACGATGAAACTCAAGTGAAGAAAATGAAGCTAAGAACAACTTGGCAAACCTTGGGCCACAGAGAGAGGGTCTGCAGCGAGGGAAACAGTTTGCGCAGGCTCCTCTGTGCTGGCTCACAGACATGGCATTATACTACGGCGATTCATGCAAAATGCAGTGGCATTTTACAACCACGGCCATAAAGAACAGTTCAGATGAAAGTCAGTGAAGCCCGTGGGTTTCGGGTACTGGCACACTGAGGGGGGATGCAGGTGCCTTGGAAGGTCCTCTCCTACTCCCCCGACATCATGATGTTAAAGGTAGGGGAAGCGAGGGCCAGAAATGCTTTGCTTCAATGCAGAATAAACTGGTCTGCATCGTGGAAGGTGAGGTATGGCTATACAGAGCCACCTTGTCAAGTGGGGTTCAGGAAAACAAGCCTCACTGCCCTCTGCAAGGTGACCTGGGTCAGCTCCATCAGCATGAAACTGTGACAGTGTGGAGGGCCAGCCGAGTCATGCTCCTTCCCTTCTGTGCGATTTTCATTCTGTAAACTTGCTTTATTTCTGAAGGGGGTGTGTCTTGGGAAAAATGTTAGAAGAAACCTGACTTTCATTCCAACTAATACATTTCTTTCCAGCAGAAAGAAGTAACTTGCAGAGTGGCTAATACCTCACTTGCTACTTGTGCATTCTCTCTGCCTAAAGAAGCGAAGAAAAGAAAACTGGGCGTGGCTTCAGGCAACTAAATTGTTTGGAATCTTGCCTCCTCTCCTCAGTCTGGTCCTCTGAGGGCTGCTGGAAGAAATGGCAAGAGCTTCCTATTATCCCCAAGGAGTTCAAGTCTTTGTAATTATCCTTGACATTTACAAAGAATTTGCTTAAAGCACCTTATAACTAGTTCCCTTAGGCTGAGATTCAGCCTCACCCATGAGCTCTAGAAGTCATATTTCAGCAAGAAAATAAGACCCAACATTCATGAACTTAACCTTCAAAGTCACAAAGAAGAGCCTGGACAGAGGGTCTTCACAGACACTGACACTTATCCACTTCCACTGCCCTCAGCTTCTGCAGTGTCCCAGAACCCAGTCACTTCCTATAACTAACACTATTCTGGAGTTTCTCAACATATGTGGCATGAAGCTGGCTTTGAAAAATACCATTGAACTCCTCTATTTTGCTGAACTCCTGTACCTTTCTGTTTCACATTATTCCTGTTGTTATGCCAGTTCTATGAGGACCAGGACTTTCTCTGTCAGATAACTGCTGTGTCTTGGAGCCAAGTGCCATGTCTGTGGCAGATGTTCAATAAGTATTTGTTGAATGAACACTGAATGAATGAATGAATGAATGAATGAAATTATGAAGAAGGAATAATAACTTTGTGTCTGGAAAGAGTCTGGAAAGGGTTATATCAACATCTGGCTTGTATAGGTTAATATTGCTCAGGTAGACAGAGACAGAGAGAGAAGGAGAGAGAAGAAGGGAGGGAAGAAGAAAGGCGGGGGAGAGAGAGAGAGAGAGAGAGAGAGAGAGAGAGAGAGAAATTGATTTGTGTCACCCTTCACGATGCTCCCCTCTTACCACCATGGTCTGTATAAGTGGCTTTGATTTTATTTCAGAGCCTATTTAGAAATTTGGGCCCCAGAGTGTACAGAAGGCTGTCGGTAAGAAATTAAATCCTCTGATCCACGGTAGAGTCAAATGTTCACACACTCAAGAGGAAACTACTTTATTTCTTCCTTAGAAATCAAAGTCTACCTTACAGATGCACAGACTTGAGAAATTTGCTCCCAGCCCTCTCCCAAGAATCTCCATGTTCTGAATTACTTTTTATTTTTCACCTTCCCCCTTTAAAGTAGAAATAGCCATATTTTTATTGGTACCTTATAATGCTTTTATATGAGGCATCTAAATCTTCCACACAGATACTCATTATACCTATAAAAGGTTTCATTATTATTTGTTGGTTGAAGCTAATTTTTCTTTTTATATTTTCACAAAGAAAACATAGTTAAGGTTTTATTAATATTTATAGCTCTTCTAATCCATGACAAACTGCAAAGAAGTAAGATTCTAACCACGTCTACTCCTCACGAGTCCTGTCCCGGTGATTTATGGGCGACTGCACTTCCCAGGAGGTAAACTGCCCCGGCTAGTTACTGCCTGGCTGACCCCTGGGGAGACCGACCCATAGAGTATTTCCAGTCACTGGTTATTTATAGCACATTAGGAAACTTCTGGAAGTCAAGATAGAGATTTTTGCACAATGAAAGATGAAGTTTCTATACTCCCAAGAGAGCTGTGTAATTAGGAGAAGTGTGAGGAGGGGACAGAGTGGAGAAAACGATGAGCTCAAACAAACTCTGATGGCTGCCAAGGGGTGGTGGCCTCAGGGGTCGCTGCCATCACAACCGAGAGGTAGGAGGCGGTGGGGAGGTGTGAGAACCAGGGGCCATGGACTGACTGCCTGGCCGCCCAGGGGAAAAGCCGGCCAGAAAGGCTCAGGCCAGCGCAGGTCTTACCTCGGGGCTGGGGTAGTGGGCAGGCTTGCTGCCCTCACTCTCGCTAGAGCTGCTCTCGGTGTCCGAGTCGGATCCGGAGCTGCTCTCCGAGTCACTGGATGAACTGCTGCCGCTGCTGCTGCTGCCGCTGCTGCTGCCCTTGCTGGAAGGCACTGAGGCTCTGCAGTTGGCCTGCTGGACCACGGCGCTGCCAGCCCACAGGGTCCCCCGGGAAGGAAAGGGAAGGAAAGCCAAGTGAGCAAACACGAAACACCACTGAGCAAGCTGTCATTCCACCAGAGGAGCAGGAGGCACAGGCCGCACATCTGTCAGCCATCACTTGGCACTCAAAGAGCAATCATCAAGGTCAAAGGCATTCTAATGGTTAAACGAAATAGTACCTACATATAAATAAAACTGGGAGTGAAAGTTGGCGCCCCTTGATTGACGGGCACACATTATTTGTGTGGTCATTTTAGAAGGGAAGGTGGTATAATTCCAGAACCGCTGTTCCTATTTTGCTGCTGCTTCTGAGAATAGCTTTTCAAATGCATCCCCAAATCTAATCATCTACAAAAATGCAAAGAAATCCAAAATGCTGGAAATAGTTTGTAAAAAAAATGAAAATTTCTGTTTGCTTTATTTTAGGACGTGGGCTGTGAGGATGGACACAGTGCTCTGCTCTGTGCTTTCAATGGCCTGCTGGAAGGTTCTGGAGACCGCAGGACCAGCAAAGTTATATAGTCTGGGCTTCCCACCTCTTCCCGCCCATACACTCAAATGCTGTCGCCTTTATAGGAGCCGGCTTGCTGAGTAAACAGTAATTTTCCTTTGAGCTCTTTATTAATGGACTAAAGATCCATTACTTACACATTTTTTTTTATATATATATTCCATACTTTAAAATTCAACCTTAGTATAGTTAGGTTAGTATATATTCCATATAGTTAGGTTAGTATATATTCCATACTTTAAAATTCAACCTTAGTATAGTTAGCAACAGCATTTCAAATTATACTTTATGTTCATTTCCATGCTGGAACTTGCCAGCAAGTTACAGACTCAAATCATACACTCAAAGAGAACAGGAAAAATGGACACTTTCTAATGGTAATTAATTAACCACAAAAATCCAGATAGCAGACATCCACCCAAAGAGTGAGCCAAAAAAAAAGTTTTGGTACTCACATAATATTCAACATCTTCAAAGTCTGTATTAATTGCTTTTACACACACCTGAATTTGTTCTTTTGAGGTCATATTTTAAACCCAGAAAATGCAGTGACCACTTTTTCATGTCGAGTCAGCAAATATGAGCTTGGCCCTTCTAATTGGGACCAGTGCTCAACAGGAGTGGACATTAGAGAAGGCCAGGGGCTGGGGAGCTTGTTAGGGTTTAGAGTTTCAAGTGCAAAGCAGCCCGGACAAGGTAAAGGAAACTTTTCACCTTCCCCTTAAATCTTTGACAAACGCTTTGCCCAAAGATAGAATCTCATAAATCTTCAGTGTGAGGGGTTAATGCTCATTGGAGCCTGGCTTCTAGGAGAATGCCAAGACAAGAAGCTGTCCTGTAGGAGATATCTGTAGGAGAGTTGGAACATCATCTTCTCTAGTGGTTTCTATGTCCCCCACCAACGTCATGGTCCATACCTACCGTGTGACAGTAGACAACATCTGCACATTTAGGACGTGGGCTGTGAGGCTGTGTCAACATCAGACAACATCTGCACATTCATGTCTTGCCTGAACTGGCGTGACTTCTTTGGCAGCCTCTCATTTGTGTCTGGGGTTGAGTGAGGAATCCTGGCTCTTTGGACAGAGGCAGGGAAAGGAAGGCTAGTGATCAAAGGGCTGTGATACCACTTTCTTCCCTCATGAGCTAAAATTCACCTTTCCCGGTGGCTGAGCTGGGATGCCTACTGTCAGTGGGGTCATTAAAAACAAAAAACCTTAGATTCTGGCCAAACATGAACACCTGGCATCCATGTTAACAGCCTGTTAAGAGACTCCCAAAACACTGGGGAGAAACAGCAATAAACAACCCCCCACTAAAAAAACCAAACGCACATCCAACAACCCCATGTTAATAGTTTGTCAGCAGGCGCCCAAAACTCTGGGGAAAAAAAATTCCAAAAACAAACTAATGCCTCCTCCCCTATTAATAAAAACCTAAACCTGAAAACCCCCTAAAGTGAAGCAACACATGGTAGAGGGAAGAAATATGTCTCCCTGCCACATTCTGGGTGACATCTGCTGAAGACTGAGAAATTAGGACGGACCAAGAGCTTAGTGATTCACCAACGTGATGGCCAAAGGCTCTAAGCACAGAGCAGTACCGTCCACAGGCTTTAACTCAAACAACAAAGAACCTGTGATGCGCCTGCTGTGTGTGTCTGGGCATTGGGTGAGCACAGCGGAAGCGGCAACATGCATGGAGGGACTGCCTGCCTTTGCAAAAGCAGCACTTCGATCTCTGGGAAAATGTCCATTAACCAGTTCCCGTGCTGCCTGCCTCCCTTTCACAAGGGGCTGTCCTATAGGAATGAGACACACCAGCCCAAGGAGACAGATTCTCTTGGCCGAATTACGTTGGTGGAAAAGCCTCAGGCTTTCATGTCTTCCTTCCTTAAATTAGGAAATTCACTTAAAATGAGTTTTACTGGCATAACTATATTTGTTTTTAAAACAGTTGAGAGAGCCAAGAGTTTTAGGTTCTTCTTCATGTTTTGCTTGTAAGGAGGGTCACGATTGACTATATTCATGTTTCAATGGTTGGGGTAGAGAATGTGTCACCAGAAAGAATCTGTGTTAAGGGTGGGAGCCTGGAAGGACTCTGGTGGCTCCGGCTGTGGCATCAAGAGAACTATCCCTCCGTCCACAAAGGCTGCTCCATTAACTGGTGTTTGTGCGGGTCCTTGGGTGTCAACTGGTTGTTAATAACTGCTCTTGTCATGACTGCATGAGGCTGCTGTGCTTTTGCTGAAGCAGCTGCAGCAGGGAGGGTGGCAGAGTAAATTCTAGGAAGCTGGATGGGATGGTTGTCACAGTGACTATAATAAAAGGGTTGGCTTAGCTATTCTGGGAGGCCTCTTTAGAGTAGCAGAATCAAGATGGAAAAAGATGCATCGGAAAGACCTTCCTGAAAGACAAGGCTGTATATATTTAAAACTGCCAACTGAAATTTTAGCGTGCCAATTAGATGTCATGTTTCTGTACCAAAGATATTAAAAAAAAAACTTAATTTAAAAAAATTAACTTTTTTTCCTGAAAAGATAACATAGATCGGTTGGCATGATGACACAACCTTTGATAATTTTTACGAGAGTTCTTGGACCCTATGCAACATGGTGCCACTGAGTCTGCAGACATGGAAACATCAGTGAGATCATGGAATAAGTCTTTGTGTCACCCAACTTAGCAAAGTGCCAGGGACATAGTAGGCATTTGAATGTGATTACTGAAAAAAAACAAAAAAATAGAAAAAAACCTGTCATTGGGCTAATGAGTTTTTTTTTAATAAGCATTGAACCTTTCCAAAAGGTTACAATCTCTCTTTTCCAATAAAAAAAAATATTTAAGGGAATTTCAGCACCTCTTGTGCTCTTCCAATTTTGACACTTCTTCCTTTCAGAGGATATTTCTTTAAATGTTTTCTAAATTTCATCTGCTATAATTTAAGTCCAGTTCGCTCTTAGATGGTTTATTTAATTTTTGTATTTTGATTTCATGAAATGTTTTGCTGTTTTCATGAGTGGTCAAGACCAAATACACTTTGAGAGAGTCCTGGCTTTATTCTAATGACCTGCTTTCTATGTCCTTTCCTTTGGCTGCACTGACACATTCCTTTCAGAATCTGGCCTGGGCTAAGTCTGAATACAAACAGTAAAAGAAAAGATCTGGAAGCTAAATGACAAATCCTGGATCTCACAGTGAAGGGTGCATTGTGTGGCCTGGATGAACACCCATAGCCGTCCACAAGCTTTCAACCACCAAGTAACTGGGAGGCAAGCTGTCTGCCTGCTTGGCACCGTATGGACACTGTGATGCCCAACAATGGTGCCTCGCATCCTGTGGGTGCTCCACTGGTCTTGGCCGAGTGATAATATTACAGAGGAGGCCACGGCACTTTATCACTCAGCACTCAGTATGAACTCAACAAGCACTTGACTTCCAAACTGTAATCGGTCCCCTAGCAACAGTGTTCCTGTATCGAAAGCATCTTTAGTGATATCAATTGAGCTAAAACTATAACCATATGATGAGAAGTGAAAATGGCAAAAGCTGGCACAAAGTTTACTGTTTACTTTCCAAAAAAACAAAGCTGATAGGATGGTTGGTTCTGTACTAACCTTTCTTTGTTTGCTCTGTATTAACGGCCAGAAACAATTCTGTTAAATGTGGCTTTTGAAGCTCTTCATGGTCTGGCTTCAATAAGATCTCCAGCTTTACCTCAATGGGTCCGTCCCTAAACTGCAGTCATAATAATTTCTCATGATTTTGACCACCTGTGCCTGGTTATAGCTGGGTGCCTTTGCACATGCCATTCTCTGTGTCAGAAACTCCTTTCTCCCTTTCTTCCATTATCATCTCCTCACACTCCAGCACTGAACTGCTTCACTGCCCTGTTCCGTGAATTTTTTCCCAATTTCCCCACACATAATGGAGGTTTCCTCCCCTGAACCCCTAGAACACAATGCCCATTTCTCTACTGTATCCCTTACCATATTAAGGATAGGAATAACCTAATTTATCCTTGCATCCCCAAAGTTAGCAGAGGGTCTGGCATAAACAGATTCTCAACAACTATATGAAAGAACTTAAAAGAAAAATGATTCTTGATCCAGCATGTAAGTCAATGTATTTGTTATTCTATGAAGTAGCTAATGAGATGTTCATATACCCAACATATGTATCTTTTTCTGTTGCCTTGGGACTGGCTAGGATTTCATAAAACTGATATCTCTAGAGAGCTACTGTCTATGTTATAGACTGCAAATTGAAAAATCTACAGGGGCCAGGTGAGTAGTATAAAGGAGTGAAGTCCAGGTATAAGAAAGACAAATGCCTAACACATGATGATAAATGACAATGGACCCTTGGCTCCCTGGCAGGGAAGGAGTCAAAGCGGGGAGAGCCCCGTCTGGTCTAGCACCGCTCTCCATGTCAGCATACCCCTGCCATGTGGAAATGAGAAGCCCTAAATCCTGA